GTTGAGTATGCAGATCATCTGAATCTTATTTATCTTTTCATTAAAACATGTTAAGCTCCTTTCATCTCACTTTCACTCCCCCGGATCTTTTTCCCTTTAATGCTACCCACTTTTATCTTGTTTTTTTGTCTTTTTTTTTGTCTTTTACTTTAATTAGCCTACAACACAGCCCTCTTTACTCGTTTATTGCCTCTGCAAGAATCTCATATTTTCATCACTGAGTTGTTTATTAATTAGCAGGATTAGAGAAAAATTGCTTCGTAGATTTCCACGAGACATCGGCCCGCCGCACACCACATTACATGGCTGAACCGATTAGAATCGACTATCATGAAAAAATATGGCAGTTGGCCACTTTCACCCACACATTGAGCGATTGAATCCTGCACATCTGCGACCACATTCAGTTATATTGTGCGGTGTTACTTTTATTTCGCTGTAAAAACATGGAAGAAGTGGGTTGGCACAAAGAGAAATGGGCACGAATAAAGAAGAGTGTGTGGATATTTTGAGAGACTGCCTCGTTCCATTCGCTGACTGTATTGTGCTCTTGGTACATCGCTCCCAGTGCATTTTGGTAACAGAGACAGCTCGCTTCACTATTTTTACTATATTAAGTGTCTACTACAAAACTAATGAAGCTCTAATAGCATCTAATTAAAATAGACTAAGAGAAAAATAAAACGACGTGCAAAAAGCCTCAAGTGTAGGTGTGAATTTGAGCACAGTTTTGTTGCCAGTTTGACAAGTCTGAACGAGTGATCCCAGCTTATTTAGTGCTCATGAGTCTGATAGACGAGTGGAGTAAGCTGGTTATGTGGCGGGAGGTTCTGGTCCAAATGGATGGTAGCCTCCTTCCTGAGGGTAGAGGATGGAACAGCCCCTATTTCCACTGTGAGTACTGTCACATTTCATGCGACCTGCACTCCCCAGGGTCCTGAAGACCTCCATGTACTGAATGGATTGGAACTTGCACACTTTCAGCTTCTCAGCAGGACACAGCAGTGTGCTCTAACACACTAAAGTAGAGAAAAAAATCATTTTGGTTGATTTTTGTATCAGGGAGAAAAAAAAAACAACAACAACCTGAAGAGACACGTCACGGTTCACCACAAAGCATTCGTACTAAGTTTACAAAAATGTTTGGTGGTGGTTGTTTTTAACGTATCATTAAAGGGTGAAAAGGGCCACTTTAAAATTCTTCAACTTTTTGAAAGTCAGCCAAGAAAGCAATCATTTATTATATATTGTATTGTCGAGTTAATTTCATCAGCTTTCTGTTAAAGGTGTTAAGTCAAATAGTTGAGTTAAAGTTTTTAGCATCTCAAACAGCCATCTGTCTCAAGAAGTAGATCCAGCTCTGCGTTAAACAGCAGCCGAATCCCATCTCCACATTCAGAACCATAAAAAGAGCAAACTGTAGTAAAGTGACCATTTTTCAAACAGTTACTTGAGGATCATTAATGCGATGTCTTCATAAATCAGCCACGGAGCACAAAGTGGAAGAAACTATTTTTGCCTCGAAAATTGAATTATCTTTATTTACTAGTGTTTTGAAGATAAATTGTGTTGTTCTTTTAATCATAAATGGTTTATTTGTATCTTTGAATATAGAGAAAAGTTCTACAGTTTAAAAAATAAAAAATATTACAGTACCAGTAATGGCACCTAATTTTCTGATACTCTCCCTTTCTCTATCTGCCCACCTGCACCTTTTTTAACTAACCGTGCGGCCCATGTCAAATGTATTTTTGACTTTTTTTCCTCTAAGTTTTAAGAAGTTTTTCCTTGATGTATTTCCTAGCCTTCGATCGTTCGGATGGGGAAGGCGGAGCAGACTTTCTTGAATTTGAACCTTGAGGTCATGAAGATGGATAAGTAAAGGCACTTTTTCAATACAAAGGGAGATTGAACAGGCTGGTTACATCTGGAAAGCAGAATGTAAATGCTGTGTATTAAATTCCAAACCTCCATTTTCTAATCTGCTGAAATAAATAGTAATTCATTGTATTCAAATGGGGTTTTATATATATATATATATATATATATAAACAGAAAGGTGTATAAATAGATAAGTACAGTACACATAAGTACTTGATGAGATGACGCACTTGAATGCGTCACTTCACTCCTCCCGGCTTCGCTTCCTCGTCTAGCGTCGAAGCGACGTTACAGTAGCGTTCATTGTGAGCAGACGTTTTTTTATTGTTCAATAAAGATTTTTTTAAAAAAGCAGACGTGTTTAGTGAAACGCTTCCTCGTGTAGCGTCCATTGAGAAGTAAACGAGTTTATATTGTTCAATTTAAAAAAAAAAAGAGAGACGTGTTTGGTGAGACGCTTCTGTTCGGGGGAGTGAAACCCCCCTCTTTTCAGAATGGTTTGCCCCAGCAGCACTGGGGAACTGCGTGCCTTTCGTTGTCCGGCCGGCAGTTTTCAATATAGCGGCACATAATGAACACTCTGGTGTCCGGTGTCTCATTATTTTGCAATAATCATACAGAAACAGCTTCCTCGTGTAGCGTCCATTGAGAAGTAAACGAGTTTATATTGTTCAATTTAAAAAAAAAAAGAGAGACGTGTTTGGTGAGAACTACGTAATATCGGACTGTTATTTTTGCATCGTGTATCGGCCCCTAATCATAGCACCAAAGAAAGCAAGTGGAAGTGGTAAATGTAATGATGGTCAGCAGCCAAGGTTCACGTTTTATGTGACTTTTAAGAACAACGTGGCGAGTGGCGGGCCGTGCATTACAACCTTTGGCCTTCAGTGACGTCACATACATGAACACAATACTGTATGGGCTCGTCAAGCAGCACTTAATTTCAGGAACATTTAAAACCATCAAGTATGCATTCACAATTAAGAGCAGGAAACTAAATTTACAGATAGTAAAAAATAAAAAGATGATTTAAAAATACGAAATAAAATGCCACCCAAATTACGCTGTGTGATCTTAAACAAGTCTGTCCAATAAATTGCGCAATGTCGCAGTTTCATATAAGACACCAACCAAACAATAAATGAGTGTCACACCTAAACAAAAGGACTTATGCACACATTTCAACATGTATTTCGTTCAGGTTAACATCCTGAAG